TGAGTCTTTTTCTTGCAGTTGCATGCTTAGAATAATGAGAGCTAATGATCCCAATCTTTAAATTACTGCTATTACTTTACAAGGCATGAAAATAAAGGATTATTTTCCCCCTATAAAGGAATGGAGTTATCTGCATCTATTCCTCTTGTGACGTCACGTTTAGCCACACCCACCAACTGGAATGAACATTGAATGAAGCAAAAATGAGCAATTTTGAAGGCTCATATCTCAGTGAATAATTTTTTTTGAATAATGGGAGTTGGAACACATCATTATGATGATGCAAACACATTAAGCCAATAAAAAAATACCCCCAAAATTCACGGAACTTACCCTTTAAAACAACTCTAGTTTAGGACTATAAAGAGTACTTAAAACTTACGTAACCTGACTAAAGTGGATTTGGCAGAGCAGGGAGAGTTAAGTGCCCAAAAAAACGTTATAACCTGCCACATCTGGTTCTCAAGGCCAGACTGCCTGTCCCTTTAGAGGGTCACATGAGGAAAACCACACCTCTTACTATAATGACTAACATGCATCAACAAGCAACAATAATAGTAAAATTTAACCAAACACATGAAAAAGTGGAGCAAAACAACATCTGATGGCGACCTTATAATTAGAGTCAATGGGAAGGAATCACGGGCTTTGGCCAATCATTCCAATCAAGGTGCACCCCAGTGCTGGACTACGGCTATGGTTAGCCTGGTTCAGACATTTGTATATCTCCCAAAGACATACACAGAGGTGGAAGGGCCTGGGCAAAGGTTATACTGATCTCAGCTCTAAAACAAAGGCCTGAGATATGTTGATCTCAGGATCCAAAACAAAAACAACACCCTAAGTTAGACATCAGTACCTTTGGAAAGTACCTGCTAGTCCCTGAAACAAAGGAGGGTTCAATTGTAGCTCTGGGTCACTGTGGTGTTCCCCTGTGTGAACAAGACCCATGCTCACTTAGTTGGTCCAATGCCCTAATAACATAATGTACATAAATTACAAAAATTCTTACCAATAATTTATATTTTAAAAGTTAAATTTACAAGGCACAATATTACATTAAAAAATTTTTGTCCAGACACAACACAACATAAAAGTATCAAAGCAAATACATAATGCAAACAGGAAAATCTTCCAAAATAAGAAAATTAGAAAGTACACTCAGTTACCAAATAAGTTTAAGCTGCAATCATTCCCAAGAGTAGACGCCTAAGCAAGAGATTTTTATGACACACCTCTCAATGATAATCCCATCCAAAAAAATTTCG